ATCGAGATGACATAGGGGAGAACTGATATTGATATTTTGATTGACCTTAGGTCACATTACAGTTCATTCGACGCATCTCGACGCGAGAATTCCTATGTCCGGTAAAACTAATATCGATGACATCAAATCTGACCGACCGGTGGACAAATTATAAGTAAAATAGTTTTTAAAAAGTAATTATTTGTTTTCGGATATTTTTTACCTACATATACCAATCCAGTTCTATATGTCCTATAATTCAAAACGGGCAAATTTAAATAAACGGTTTCCGCTTTCTCCATTATAATCGGCAGGTCACGTGACCAATCTGACCCACGAGAAACCCTTTCAACATCCAAATAAGTAGCCGCATAAGCAATAAGGAGTCGAAAACTTGCTACGTCCTGTCAGAACGAAGGATCACCTGGCACTGAGCGCATACCTTAGGTCAAACTATACTTCATTCGACGCATCACGACCCGGGAAATAATTTGATCTATGATTTGACCTGGCACTGAGCGATTTTTTTGGCTGTTCATATGTTCAGTGTGACAGCATACGTCATTGACTTGACCTGCAGCGAGACTTCGATTGGTGCCAAGTAATCCGCCGCTGGAAGCAGCAATTTGGTGGGAATGCGATAGACTAGATCCTCGCATTAACCTACGAGCCGCTGGGCATAAAGTTGCCCCCCCCCCCTTTACGTTTTGTGAAATATCTCCGAAACCTGATAAGCTACGAACGTGAAACTTGGCATAGCTTCAAATGAATACCTAGGCAATGTTTGAGGAAAGTTTGGTGGTTGTAGCGCCTAGGATGACGTCACAGTGACGTCATAAAATTTTGTCGTTTTCCGATATGGACCGTTTCTGATGACGCTGAGCATGAAACTCAGCTGTAAATGAACTAGACAGCACCTGCTGTCGTCCTAAAACAACTAACTACACTTCCATCTAGTTTCTGACCAATTATAATCGACTCTTTATATTCGGTCCCATATATCTGATGTATCGTGAGGAATATGGGAGTCGCAAATCTATAATTTCACTTATGACGTCACTGTGACGTCATTTCAAATGGAATCGACACCAAATTTGGACACAACCTCGGATAGGTATTCAGAAAGATGTGTGCAAAGTTTCTCTTCTCTATCTCTTCGCGTTGCGACGGTATCGTCGCAAAACTAAAGGGGGGACAACTATATGCCCCCGCCCCCCCCCCCCCCCAGCGGCCGGCGGGTGGCGCGGAGGCCCAGTGGCCGCCGGGTTAAGAACAGCTTTAATAAAAACTGTCACGACTTGGCGCAGCGCTTCCATTGCAAAATGTTCAAAACCAAGGCATCGATCGAATCACAAAAGCTCAAATGAAACATTTGGGAAGTGTGGAACGAGCGATGCTTTGAATTTTTGTATTGTGTTTTATCTATTTTTGTGATTTCGATAAGTATATTCATAATATTAAGTATATTTCATATAATAAGTATTTTGTGTCCGATATTTTGCGTTCGTGATAGTTTGCTTGGGAAATTTTTTCAATTCGTCTACGAGCATTCGGTTTTGTCTCTCGATATCTCTCTTTAATTATTTTTTCTTAACCCTATTAGTGGCAGGGGGGGGGGTTGTTTTTATCCACCCCTCAGGTTTTTCGGGAATATCTCCGAAACCGCTGAAGCTACGATGCTGAAATTTTCTGACTTTTCCTAAAACTAAATTGGGCACATTCCCTGAAAATTTCAAGTTTATATTTTTACCAGGGGCGGCTCCAGAGCACTGGGAATTGGGGGGTCCTATTCGTGAAGCGAGTCATTTGGGCGAAGATCACGATGCTGCACCAGTTTTACGAACAGTGAATGAAAGGTATCATGTGATAACATATACAGAGTTATTGTGCATCCTCTTTTGACACGTATTTGCTATAATAGGCGGATCCAGGCGTCCAAAAAGGGGGGTTATTTTTTACCTCCCAACATAGGTGCCCTGACACCGCCTATGCATGACCAATACAATTTTAGTCGTTCTCTCATAAGAAAATTGTAACATAACAAGACCATTGCCACCCTTTTTAGAAACAGTACCAACAAAAACCTTATTTACTATACTTTTTGTGTACCCCCAATCTCAATGATCTGTATCCGCCTATGATTTTTGAAAATGCATATTTTTAGGATCCATGTGAATTCCTGGTTCATTCTCTATCGATCGGCAAAAGTTGCGTTAAAGGAAATAGTTCACTTTTAACATGGGGTTTTGAACTGGAATAGCAGTTTCGTAGCTTGGGCTGAGACTAGCACAAATCAGGAGCCTTTACGGCTCAACGATCACCCTAGACGAAGATATTCCATTTCTCGTTCCGAAAAGAGTGCCTTGCAGAGGAATGCGTGCCTTGCACAGGAATGCAGCCACGTCATCGTCAGCCAATCAGCATGCTGCTTACAGCCAATGCAGTATGCGTAGGTTTGAACTACGCGATATGATTGGTCAACGCGCAATAAGCTTCCGCGTCAAACATTATTTTACATAGAATATAGTTCGTCCTATATTAAAATATAGAAAATAACTGTTTTTACAAAAAGGTTTTATTTTATTTCATGATCATTTTGAGCATAAACAATCATAAATCAATAGCAAAATATTAATTTCAGGAAAGTGAACTGTTTCCTTTAAGATTGGTTCAGAAACCTGGCCGTGATAAACAGTCTAAAATGTATCTGCAATTTGCCCGTTTTTACCCCCCTCTACCCCCTATTGACATTTTTTTTTAGAAATGTAGATCTCGTTGAGCCAAATTGAATGCCGTTTGAATTTTGAAAATCGGCCGGTTAGATCTCGAGATATTAAGGGGGGTCGTAAACAGCCCCCCCCCCCCCTGCCACTAATATGGGGTAGCCAGGAGCCTGCCACTAATAGGGTTAAGTTATTTCTTACTTTATATTTTGCACTTTGATAATATCCGATTCGATGTTATGCGTCTTTAATGTTTGGGTTGAATTTCATGCCTTGCGACTTCAATACCTTTTGCGCCCGACACTTTGTTTTTGATATTTTGTTACTCTTCGTAGAAACACGTAATCTGCGTTTAATATTCCACGATTGGGCTTTACGGTTGAATATTTTGTGAAAAACCCGTCTCAGCCCCCTCGGGTGGCTCAAAGGTTGTGGATGGCTACTTACTTATTCGAATGCTCATCGAAATGCATTGCTTGAAAAGGTGGTGCCCTATATCCTTCATCCTTGCGTAGTTAAACCAGTATAACGCCTTTTGCGGCGACTAACGGAGCGAGCGAGAGGGTGGGCCTTGCACGTGCGAAATTGCGAGGGGGTACCTCCAACTGACTTGTGCACGGCACCCTACTAACCGGTCTCTAGCGACGTGCCAAATTTGGGCACAATCGGCCCAGCCGTTCTCGAGATCTGGAAGCGGCACCCTGCACTTGCGCACGTGCAAAATGGGTCCCAACTGACTTGTGCACGGCACCCTACTAACCGGTCCCTAACTGTGTACCAAATTTGAGCGCAATCGGTCGAGCCGTTCTCGAGATCTGGAAACGACCCCTGCACGTGCGCACGTGCAGCAGCACCCCAACTCTGGCACATGGATATGCAGTGCCTAGTGGGTGCCTACCTACTTGCCAACTTTCAGCGCAATCGGCCAAGTAGCTACCGAGATATTGCAACAATTACAAAACGGACACCTCTTCGTTTTGCACGTGGCACGTGCATAAGGGGTCACCCACATGCATCAGGAATAGTCCAATACTTGGTAGAAGGAATGAAGCTACCCTACAAAAATTACCGCGTGTAAATCGGTCAAGTGGTTGCTGAGATATAAGCCTCGCAAAAGCGTGACCACGGCCGGCCGGCCGGCCGGCCGGCCGCTCATACTCAGAAATTTGCGTTAATCTAAGGAAAGACTACGCTCGCTTCGCTCGCTCCGTAATCATTTTTGAATGATATGTTGATGGTATTACTCTTTATTTTCAATAGCAAATCGTCTACCATGGTTCGAGAAGCCAAAATTAATGACTAATTCAAGCATGAAGCGGATCTGCGGCACGGGAGCCGCCTATTTATAGGCAGTGCACCGATATACGACCAAATAATGACCAGGCAATGAACAAATATACACCAAACACTGTTTGCTGTTATTGGATATAAACGAAGACGAAATGACCGTTCCGTCCTCCGATCCCTTCAATCCATCTTCCGGACGCACATATCCATATCCACGCACATTTACGGTATGGACGGTCATCTAACGCGAGTATAACCAGTATAGCCACCATCGCAGGGCTCCGTGAAGTGGGGTGACTGTTGGCGTGGCTGAGCGTCCCTCGCGAGATGGGCTCAGCAACGATGGCGGCCACCATATGTATGTAGTCACCGTTCAGACTAACAGCCTACCCCTCATTTCGGATATAACGCGGCTCTTAAGTAGTCTCAATAGACTAAAAGGGCCTTATCCAACAAAACAAAACCGGTCGACCCATGATAAACAGCTTACATGATAAACATACTCACCCTGATAGCTACTTAGTGTACCGTTTATCGTATTGACAGATCTCTGGCAGCTCTGCTCGTCTTCACAGCTCTCCCGTTCCTTTTCTTGCACTGCTAGCTCTCCTAGACCCCCAGTGCCCTGTGACAGCCCTCTGCTGCATCGATCGGTAGACTAGTCTGACCAGTGTGCCCTCATCCAGTAGCCCATGACCAGAGCGCCTCTATAGAGGTCAAGCCCATGATCGTAGAGTGCCTTCTGCCTCTAGACACTGTTCGCGTCTGGTCTGCCGTCCGAGCGGGTCCCAGCCTCAGTTCAGTTAGAGACCAGACAGCTCGTGAGTCCGTGACCGTTGAGCCACCACGTGCCTTTGGACACTGTCCAGCAGGCCGCCGTCCAAGAGGAGCCCCTACCAAACTTCCATGACATGAGAGCCGCCACCATCCCGATGCATCTCGCCTGCCTCAGGACACTGTCCGACTGCTGAGTGCTGTCTGAGCGGGGCCCAGCTCAGGTCAGCTATGGGCCTGAAAGTTCAGGTCCGTGGGCCCCCACATGCCTGCGGACACTGTCATCCAAGCCCATGGACACTGTCCGGCCGCCGTCCGAGCGCTCCACAGGGGAAAGGCCACGCAGGCCGCGGCCGCGGGCGACCGCCCCGTCGCCCCGTCCGTATATAAGCGGCGCGCGCGCCTCTCCGAGCATCAGACACGATCACTGCTGAGAGCTGACTCGAACAAGGTGAGCTGCGTCGGCCGCGACGGCGAGTGTGACGGGACGCGAGGTGACTGGCGCGGCGTGCTGTGTGACGGGACCGGCACCGCGCCGTGAGCTGGGGCCGCTCTGGGCCGCGCTACCGCCGGCGCCGTGCTCCGGCCGCCCGAGAGACACATTAGATGTGATTTGTGGATTTTTTTTTAATTCGTTGTTTTCCGAAACTCTTTGCTCATTAAAATTGCTTTCATTTCTTACTTTTTCTTTCGATTGCTGGTGTCGTTTCAAATTCTAACAATATTTTATCATTAACATACCTACCTAGATTTAATTTTGTCCATGTCAATCCAAAGTTATTGCGGCTTCCGATTTCAGTCGACAGGCAATTCTCAACACTTTACCGCTTTAAATACTTGCCCTCGACAGTTCCTTTTAGAATGTTTAGATAGTGATTTTAGTTTTCAAAACAAAAACATTTACGATGTGCTTAGCTCCGCCTATTCTTAAAATTTCTTCTTTTTTTGTCTCTTTTTGCGCGTTAAACCTTTGTGCCGAGCATTACCATTTAAATACCTAGTTGACTTAGATAAATAAAAACTCAGCATATATCGGACGTTTCGTGTTCGGTTTAACACTTCATCGGCGATACTGGCGCGGCAATTCATTTTCGTAGACATACATACATGTTTTTTTTCCTAATTATCACTTTCATTTTCCTACTAAACCTCCACTCCGCATAATTTTCTGTTAACTACTTCTAACGCGCTAGTAGTCCCCAGAAACACGGGAAAATGATTTATTGCAGTGTATGTTTGTATTCAATATGTTCAATGGTGTATGTCTGTAATTTTCCAGCCTAGAAGTAGTTAACAGAAAATTATGCGGAGTGGAGGTTTAGTAGGAAAATGAAAGTGATAATTAGGTAAAAAAAAAAAACATGTATGCAAGGCCATGTATGTATGTCTACGAAAATGAATTGCCGCGCCAGTATCGCCGATGAAGTGTTAAACCGAACACGAAACGTCCGATATATGCTGAGTTTTTATTTAATTTCAACGAAAGCTGAGTAATATATAGTTGACTTAGAAATAAGAAAATACCTTGATGTCTGGTTAGACTAACAACTTTCCGTTTCATAAAGTTTCCCGACAATACACGGCACAACAGCTAAAACGGCGCAAATTGTGATTGCCCTTAAAATGTTTTGTGAATGGTGTTGATCTAAGTATGATTATTTTACCTTTGTTGCCCTCTGTTTAATCTTAGTCTTTATCTTTACACTTCAATGTCAGGCAATAGCTCGCATTCACTCATTGATACCAGAAATGGATCTAACTAGCTAGCATATCTCATTTCACCTTTTTTGCAAGCATCATGATCGCTTCCGAAGCTGTCACATTTATGCATTACGTGATATCGCCCCAATGTTCACGTCCTTCCACCAGCCATCTGTCTCTGATTTGGCGAATGTGTTTGGAGTTCCCGTCTCTTCTCTCCAACCCCTGGTGCGCCTGTTTTGTCATCACCGTGATGATGCTGTTTGGATTTACCGAACCCCGGACAATATCGGTCATCGGCGTCCAGTCATCCTCTCCCTGTTCATTTCGATTTCGTTCCCGGTGTCTGCGCCGCGGGACACGGCCGCGTCCCATCTGCCGCCGGTTGGGATCATGACCGGCAGCGTGACGATGCTCCCGACACGAGCTGTCACGCCGGGGCAGTCACGCCCGGTGTAACGCCCGGTCACAGCTGACGCACCGGCCGTGACGGAGAACGGCGTCATTTCACTGTGGTGATACGCGCTGACGGTGACCTCCGATCGAGTGGGTGCGACACCCACCACTGACGCCCTGTGAACTGATTCGAAGTGCAGCGAGCCGTCCTCCGGCCAAGGAGATTGCTCTGGGATAGTTCTGCCGCTCCCCAGGCGGCATCACGATCTGCCGGGACGCCTGCCGAGCTGAGCCGGTGGATTGGAGCGCCCGCGGACGATCCAGACCGCCGCTGGCTGGAGCCGAGCCTTGGCGCTCTCCATGGCAGCTCACTGAGAGAGAAAGTCGAGCGGTCGCCGGCGGGCCGCCCCGGGGCACCTCGGCAGCAGCAGTTGTGTTGTTACAACACTGCAAAACGGCAGCACCCCGGCACGGCACCGTTCGGCACGAAAGGCCCGGACCATCGGGCTGACGAAAGCTCGTTCGTTTCTTGCTTCCAGTTGAAAGTGTTGGGGTTGTAAGTGGTCATCCTGCAGAGTTTCTGGAGCATGTGGTCGGTATTGGGTGGCTAAATGCTTTTCTAGTTGAGTAAATCAAGATCAGGGCATCAAGATGTTCATGCTGATTTTAACCGGCTATTATCTTTCAAAATCCTTTAATTTGATGCTGAATGATTTGGCAGTTTTAAACGGACCATTGCTTAGACAAAAGGCTTTGTGGTCCTTGTTCAAAGAAATCGATTAACTTACATAGGGTGACTGAAGTGAAATAGGTATGCATGCTATTTTGTGGATAATCCATCCACAGCTCTCCCTGCTAAGATCTGTCAAAATCGCCTCAACCATGTCCATCCTCTGGTCGTTGCGAAATGACTTGCAAATTCCCACGAGCACCCTATTATTACCGCTGATCATAGGCCAATGTGCATGCAAAAATAGCCGGCAGTTTGGTCATATTATCGATAATCATGCAATGGAGCGCGTTTGTTCCGCCTGAGGAACGCAGCAAGCGTTGCAAAACCCACCATGGGAGACTGTTGGGTCATGTTCTGACGTTGCGCTCTCTGCCTGACCATCTGATCAGATCTCTCTGTGTCGTCAGTCGGTGATGTTGCGCGTGTCTGTCTCTGACCAGCCCGTTCTCGTCTATTCCTTCACAGATGCTGCGTCACGTGCTTCTGGTGTGCCTGGTGGCGGCGGCGGCAGCCAAGGAGGCCGCCGTCAAAGAGGAGGTGGCCGCCGTCGTCGAGGAGGAGGTCGCCGACCTGGCCGCTGAGGGCAGTGTGAAGGAGAAGCGTCAGGTTGGATATGGCGCCCCCAGCGGCCCTGCCCCGTCCACGGGGTATGGCGGCGGATTCGTCCCGTCGGCTCCCTCCGGCTACAGCGCTCCGTCCGGCCCCGGCGGACTGGCGCCCTCGTTCGGCGCCGCTCTCGGAGGCGGCTTCGGCGGCGGTGCTGTCGGCGGCGGCAGCGGCGGCAAGTGCCGCGACGAGACCAAGTACATCCTCACCTGGACCAAGGCCGTGATCCCCGTCACCGTGTACGACACCCGTACCGAGTACCTGCCAACCACGCTCTACAAGTACGTCACTGAGACCGAGTACTACCCCCACACCGTGGTCCAGCTGGAGACCACCACCCGTGGCGGCGGCGCCGAGTACCAGGAGGAGACCAAGATTGCCTACCGCACCAACACCGTGGTGATTCCCCAGGTGGACACCATCACGTCCACTCTGGTCTTCACCGAGGACGAGCACGTGACGGTGACGGAGACGGACCACTTCACCCAGACGCAGGCGCAGCAGTACCCGGTCGAGGTGACCGTCACCAGCGTCCAGCAGATCCCGCAGGTCAGTCACACAGCAAACTCCGGAGATTTCTTCTCCGGAGGGGCAGATTTCTTCATTGCTGATGGAAAGTCTTGTCTCGTCTTCCCGCATATTTCTTCTGAACATAAATAGCTACAAACGGCTATCTTTATTTGCGCTTTGTTTGACACTTATTTAGCCACGATGCTTTCCATCCATCAAAGGTAGCAGCTTGCCTGGCATAAGAAAGCTTCAGCTTTACTCGATGCCTCATGAGATGCTGACAATCCGATGCCAGAACTGTGTCAACGGTCAGTGACGTTTTGCCTTCTCCTTCCGCAGGTCCAGACGTCTGTGGCCACCGAGTACCAGACCCAGTACCAGACTCAGTACGTCACCAACCAGTACGAGGTGGTGCAGACGCAGACGGCCAACGTGCCTCAGGTGCAGTACATCACCAACACCGTCACCCAGCAGCAGTACCAGACCGTGGCCGTCACCAAGACCCAGAAGCGCTACCAGACGGTCACCAAGTGCGCTCAGCAGGGCTACCCCGAGCCTCCCCGCCGCTACTAGCTCCAGCGAACGGCTCACCCGCCAGCGCAGCGGCAGTTATCGAACCGAGTCAGCTCTCCGTCAGTCTGTATAGGCTAAGTCATTAGGTTAAGGCGCGAATTCCCACACTGTGATACTGTTGACCATTGTTGACCAGAGGAGCGGCGCGTGCTGAAGTGGTACACCGCTGGCCGGACCAGTCAGTCGCCCGTGACCTCCAATGTTGTTTGTTTGATGTTTGTGTAAGGGACTATGTATCCATCGGTGAAAATTGTCACGTCAACTCTAACCGATGATAAAGATCAGCTGATTGCCCATATTTTTGTATGTCGTATTTACTCCGTACAAACGTTTTTGTAATAAAACATAAAAGAGTACCTGTTTCGTTTTACCTTTCCTTCTTCGTCGAGGGACCGGCGGCCATTGAAATGAGCGAAGCTTAGCAGCCAGTGATACACGCTACACTAACACGGGAAACTTTTCTCCTTTATATACAGTTGGAACTGGAAGACTACCGTCTTCATCACAGTTTACACAACTTTCTGGACATACCTAACACAACCTACGACCTAAGCCGATGGACACTGGACGATTGAATATCTAAACATATCTTACTGGGCTATGTTTGAATGTCCATGGATGCGAAATAAAAACTTTCTTAAGCTTTCCACGTCACCAAGCTCACAGACATAGGTCATATAAAGCTCCATTTTACCACATATTATTTATATTTAAATATCGCGTCACATAAAAAGGGTGAGCATTGTAACTCAGATCCAACAGCCCAAGCGTAAGAGATAAAGGTAGCAAGTAAATACGAAAAAAAAAATGCTGAGTGTTTTAGGCATAAGTAAAGTACGATAAAAACCAGGCGCTTTCATTGCCAACGAGTGGCCGGTCTTCTATTGTTATAATTGCTTCCTCCGCTGCAAGGAGGCACGGACACAAACAGTCTGATGAATCTGCTACATGCAGTTGGGTTCACACAGACCGAGAGACGGTCTTCTGATGAAACAAGGAAGAAGGAGTCTCCCCGTGGGTGTAACGGTGGCTCGTTACCACAGTCATGTTTGTGATTCGTCCGCGGGAGCTCTCAGTTCGCGATCTGTAACGTCATGGCCACAGTTGTGTAATCGCTGGCAGACCCGCTGGTCGTCTTGCCCTGGGGTAACCTGAATACAACGGCTGAATGATTATGCAGGAAACTGAAAGTAGCACTCGCAGTGGCCGTCATCACGCGAGAGGGATGCCCTCGACCGTTCACCATCCGGCGCGGGGCGGAGTGAACGGAACGGTGCAAAACGCCCGATCATTCTCACTTGACTCTAAATGGAACGCATAACGCTGCTGACCATCCGTCTGCCTGATATATTGCTTAACCCGCGCCTCACTGGGGGGGGGGGGGGGGGGGGCTATTCATAGCCCCTCTCCCGTTTTTCTGCAATAACTTCCAAACCGCTTGACGTATCGACGCCAAACTTTTAGTACCTTCGGCTGCATCAATTTGACACCTTGTGTTAAAATTTGAACTTCGTAGCTACCATAGGTCGGCCGGAAATGACGTCAGAGTGATGTCATGTTCGGCCGATTTCGACGCAAAACATTGAACCAGGGCAATCGCTCCCAAGGGCTCAGTTTTTAAGCTAGATCCAATTTCTTTGCATGACAGGACTCAGAATAGACTGCGCTAATAAATTGCTATCTCAGATTTTCGTAATTTTGAAAAGTCCGAAAATTTTATATAATAAAATTCAACATTTACATTTTTACATTTTTTTCAAAAAGTTTTTGACTTTTCGAAAAATCGGAATACATATGATAGAACGCGTTATTATGACTAACTCTAGCAAGTTTTAGCTATATATCTTCAAAAATGGCCAAGTTAAACGCATTATAGCAAAAAATTCACAATTATTAATTTTTCAAATCATTTTTTTTCACCACGTATTTGACATCGTACGCCAATATAAATAGCACCATCGTGTTCCTGAGCTCAAACTGCATCCTATAGACACATTTTCTGTTGAAAAATTATAGCTTCAAAATTTGACCTTTTTTGACCTGAAAGTGACCTGACCTAAGCTAAATTCGACTCAAAATGACCTCGAATGACACAGACGACATCAAAGTAGAAATCTTTGGCCTAAATGGACCATAAAACATGTGTCACGTGACCGACGCATGATATAGTATTTTCGTGACCTGTGATGACCTGACCTTGACCTGAAAATCAAAGTACAAGTTTGGTACCCTCAGGGTATCTAGAGCATCTGTTCACGAGTGTGTGAACCAAAAATGAGCCTGATCTGACTTGTAAGACGGCGGCCAGAGCCCAAAACGTGAACAAGCCAAAATGCTAATAATTTTCACTTTGACCTGACCTGTGACGTCATCGGTGACCTCGAGGTCAATGAAATTAGGTTTCGCTCGACAGTTTTTCCGGGGATATCAGACGCCGTTTGAATTTTGACGATCGGACCAGTAGTTTCGGAGTTAGGAGGGGGGCTATGAATAGCCCCCCCCCCCCCCCCCAGTAGGGCGTGTTATACGCAGACCCCAGTGGGGCGCGGGTTTAAGTGTGAATTAACCGAAAAAAATGAGCCTAAAATGAGCCAAAGGAACCGCCAATCCGGCTGAAAATTGTATCGTAAGAGGGACTTATCGGTGACTAAATACAACATAATACAGTTAGGACATAATTATCATGTATTATCATAGACATATCATCCGCAATGCTGGGGATTGGTACCCGAAGCAGCTAGGAAGAGCTCACACAGGTACAAACATATGCACGCACACGCTAAGCACCCATCACACGTTCGAACAAACGCACACACAAGCACAGCCATATCCAAGTCATACCACAAGCTCTGGTAAAAGCTCCGGGACAGCACACAGCATGGTGACCCTATGTAGAAGCACAATAAAACGTCACCTTTATTGCCAAGCCAGCCTGGAATACTCATTTCTCCACATATATAACACGCCTTGTTGACTAGGTTATGGGCGAGACATATGCAGCGCGGTATACCACACTGGCATGTTTTATTAATTCGTCTCGTTTCATGTCAAACGATTAAATCGGGCGTTCACTCGCAGCAAACTCGCAGCATGTCAGAGCGTTCCGAAGCACCGCGAGTTTTGAGTGCCGTCAGGCGTACAGTTAACGACGCCATTCAGTCTGAAACCTCTAATTCAATACAGGAGGCAGTAAAAAAGTCCTTCACTGGATACTAGGTCTTTGGTGACGCACATAAGCTCGATTGCGAACACGACATTCACACATTGAGTCACATCATTGAAATGGGCACCAGATATCCGCCCAGATATATTTCGCATTACATCCCCTCAGCTCTCAACATTCACAGCATCACTCGATAGAGAAGAAACACAAATATAAACGCAATAAATAAAAACAAAACCACACATCGACCATAGTAGCTTTACCACGGAGTGCTATATGAAATGTGCGTTTATAAAGCGCATATACACAGACACCACAGTTTTCGGAAGCCTGAGTGGAGCTCATCCGAGCTCAGTGTTCCCTCGTAACCCGAACTGGAATCACCTGCGGCGGAGCGGCGCTACAGCTCCCCCCTGCCGTCCCGCCGGCCGCGCGCTCACACGTTGATGCTGAAGTCCTGCCGGCCTCCGAGGCGGTGGGCCAGCGCGCGGAGCTCCAGCTCGCAGTCGGTGGGCGGTCCGGGCCGCAGCTGCGACAGCTCCTGCTGCAGCTTTAGCTGGTGCAGCAGCCGGCTGTCTGCCTCTGAGACTGGCGGCGGTGGAGGCGGGGGCGGCGGGCAGACGCGGGCCAGGTACTCGGCGGAGGGTGGCACCAGCACCGGGGTGCGCGCCCTGCGTCTGTCACGGCACAGAGCGGACGAAGGGGGGTTAGAGAGGGTCCATGAGAAAACCACAGATCAGGTATTAAATCTACTACCAGTATAACGCCTTTTGTGGCGACTAACGGAGCGAGCGAGAGGGTGGGCCTTGCACGTGCGAAATTGCGAGGGGGTACCTCCAACTGACTTGTGCACGGCACCTTACTAACCGGTCTCTAGCGATGTGCCAAATTTGAGCACAATCGGCCCAGCCGTTCTCGAGATCTGGAAGCGGCACCCTGCACGTGCGCACGTGCAAAATGGGTCCCAACTGACTTGTGCACGGCACCCTACTAACTGCTCCGTAACCGTGTACCAAATTTGAGCGCAATCGGTCCAGCCGTTCTCGAGATCTGGAAACGACCCCTGCACGTGCGCACGTGCAGCAGCACCCCAACTCTGGCAAATGGATATGCATTGCCTAGTGGGTGCCTACCTACATGCCAACTCTCAGCGCAATCGGCCCAGTAGTTACCGAGATATTGCAACAATTACAAAAGTGACACCTCTTCGTTTTGCACGTGGCACGTGCATAAGGGGTCACCCACATGCATCGGGAATAGTGCAATACTTGGTAGAAGGAATGAAGCTACCCTACAAAAATTACCGCATGTAAATCGGTCAAGTGGTTGCTGAGATATAAGCCTCGCAAAAGCGTGACCACGGCCGGCCGGCCGGCCGCTCATACTCAGAAATTTCCGTTAATCTAAGGAAAGACTACGCTCGCTTCGCTCGCTCCGTAACTACTCCAGCTAGCCTGGCCAGCACCGAGACGCCTATCAGGCAAAAAGCAGGCCCACAGGACAGTTAGAAACTTATAGGTACGTACAAAGAAGTATGTATATCTTTGGCTAGGGAAGCGAAGCGTACGGCGAAGAAAAACTATCAATTCAGAGGTGTGGGAGTCGTGGGACCAATCCCATCTGCAAGCGAGGGCTCGATTGTGTACCTACTACTAGCTAATTTAACATATTGTGGCCATTAGTAGCCCACATAGCTTCCAGCTAGCTAAAAGAAACGGCTTCGAATGAATAACCAGTATAACGCCTTTTGGGGCGACTAACGGAGCGAGCGAGAGGGTGGGCCTTGCACGTGCGAAATTGCGAGGGGGTACCTCCAACTGACTGTGCACGGCACCCTACTAACTGGTCTCTAGCGATGTGCCAAATTTGGGCACAATCGGCCCAGCCGTTCTCGAGATCTGGAAGCGGCACCCTGCACGTGCGCACGTGCAAGATGGGTCCCAACTGACTTGTGCACGGCACCCTACTAACCGGTCCCTAACCGTGTACCAAATTTGAGCGCAATCGGTCCAGCCGTTCCCGAGATCTGGAAACGACCCCTGCACGTGCGCACGTGCAGCAGCACCCCAACTCTGGCACATGTATATGCAGTGCCTAGTGGGTGCCTACCTACATGCCAACTTTCAGCGCAATCGGCCAAGTAGTTACCGAGATATTGCAACAATTACAAAAGTGACACCTCTTCGTTTTGCACGTGGCACGTGCATAAGGGGTCACCCACATGCATCGGGAATAGTCCAATACTTGGTAGAAGGAATGAAGCTACCCTACAAAAATTACCGCGTGTAAATCGGTCAAGTGGTTGCTGAGATATAAGCCTCGCAAAAGCGTGACCACGGCCGGCCGGCCGGCCGGCCGGCCGCTCATACTCAGAAATTTCCGTTAATCTAAGGAAAGACTACGCTCGCTTCGCTCGCTCCGTAACAAATCTACCTCCTCACTTTTCGGCGGGCGCTATCTCCACAGAAACGCACCCAAAACTGCAGCCGTTTGGATCGCCATGGAAAGATCACGAAACCCAAAACGACATTTTAATGGATACGAATGACTGCGGGGCAGTGGAGCGTCCCGTTCGTTCTGCGGCGGCGCCGCGGCGGGCGTTGCGTCAGAGCCGTCTCTCGCATGTCCCTGCCCTGTTCACAGTTCACGCGTGGCTGGGGCGTCAAACGGCGCCGCGCTTCGTCCCGCTGTGTGCGCACAATGACCCGGTTTATTACACCGCGCTTATCTGCGAATGCCATTGTATCTGCGCAGTCTGGAATCGGCGACTATCTAATTCTGTTGTCCACTTCGTGACTGCATAAAGTGTCATGTGTATAGCTGAAGGTACCGTCGAAGCTCGTCTCACGTCCTTGCTCGGGATAGCGGTCGCCGTAGCCGGGGGGCGGTCAGAAGCAATCGTCCCACAGTGGCCCACCAGCAGGAGATCCCACCAGCCCCAGTCGGTGGCGTAATCTGTCCGTCCACGGAGCATCTCCCCGAGATGAGCTCCGATTGGCACCGGTGACGCAACTCGCACGGTCGTGTCGGACCGAGGACCCATGCCGATATCGGTCAGAGTGCCCCTAGGCACTGGGAGCGAACCGGACCGGACGGCCACGAAGGGACGTTTGTTTCCTTTCAGTGGAGGGAAGGGACTCACGTGGCTTCTTTCAGCGGCTAGGAAAGGACGCCTGTCGTCCTTCCCTTCAGCAAAGGAAGAGGCAGATGGGGTGGGCATGGATGCCGCACACAGAATAAGTCTTTCCGAGCGCGACTGAATCGATAAAAAAGCCAAATATTCCACCAACACGGCACAATCCTGGCTATGCTCGATTAATTGATAAAATTATAATATGCATATATTGGATCGAGTGTAAACTGCGAGTACACCGTTCAATCCGGGCTTTGATTTAGTGAGACATGTTACGAGCGTGACTATTTTGCTACTGGCATGACAAATGGATGTGACACGGAATAATCGAATATCGATTATCGAGTGCATCACATTCGCCTATCAGCTTTGTGTTCTGACACGCCGTCAGCAAAGTACAGACTCGTTCGAGATCGGGTGACGGGTTAATATCAAACGATACACAAGAACGTGCCAGTCATGTCTCATCTCCGTCCGATCTGACATCGTGGCGCGGGCAAAACATCGACCACCCGTGGCACCAGTGTAGCAACACGACGGCACAAAACACAGATCGGCTCGATAGGGTTCGATCGGAGATTGAACCTCGCTGCAACTGATCGGAACTGGTTCAGTGAAATCAAGGCAGTGAAACACTCAGGATCAATTTTGACGAAGATATTTACTAGATGTTGTCAACATTGAATGTTTTTGCAGAAGGCATCCATCGAAATTTTACCTTCCTTGCGAGACGGTGACGGTTGCGCTGGGTGGCTATTTTCATGACACCACATTTGCTTTTGTCAAGCGTTGTTGACAAATGCCCGTGTTGGGCCCTGCGTCTGTGCAGAGTTTATAGCCATGTTCATTGTTCAGGCTATGAAACCCCTTCTGTCTGGTTTACTGTTGTGTTCAAACTGTGAAACCCGTCTATGTCGGTTTTATAGCCATAATCAGACTGTGAAACCCGTCTGCGCCGGGCTGCTGGCCGCTCCCGGGCTGTCTCGGGAATCCCAGCCCGCTGGCGGTTCCAGCCCTGCGCACCGGCGGCACTCGCTCGGTCAGCCGGCACGGTGTTTGGTAACGCCCGCTCCGTGACGGCCTAGTGGTGACCGCCGCTCCCCGCCACGACGAGCTCGTGATATTTCACTCGTGATACGGCCAGGGCGCCCACCGTCACCTCTCGGAGTCCCACCGGGCGTCGGTCGCACAGAGAGGAAGTCGTGCGGCCGCTCTGAGATGTAATCTGGCTCTGCATTCGGTCCGGGCGGGGGAGCCAGATGGACTCAGTGTGGAGAGAGGGAGACTCCACCCTCCACTCGACATGGGTTGCAGGTCACGCTTCAAGTGTCAGGTTTCAACGACACCAGACAGCAATAGGTGTCGGGATTCACGAAATGGTGTCGAAACGATAGCAATTTTGAGGACGTGAATAAAAGAGGCTTACGCATAAGTGGTTTATCGCGGCACCCACGCAAAAAAAACCTGATAAGGGAAATCGAGCCCCGTTTTTTTGCAAATCACGGTTAGTTTTCGAGTAATTTATCATTTCAATTGCACCCTTAACCCACATTTGCGTCCAGCCGTACAGTTGGAGTCGTGACTCGTTGATTTGCGGGCCACAATAGTAACTCCGCCACTCTGGCCGGAACGGATTGGCCTTATTATCCCAATGGCGAGTTACGCGGCAAGCGGACTCGAGCTCTAAAGGTGACCACATAGAACGCTGGCCTCTCGGTGAAGTGAATAAGTTGCGCATGGCCGGCTCACAAAGGGTGACAGGCTGAGTCCCGCCGCCAAATCGTTTCGATTGCGGCTGGCACGGGCCATCATTAGATTACATCGGTCAAATGACAGACACACGACTCGGGCAATCGGTAACAATATAGGCCAACTTCAACAGAGAGTCGAGTTGTGCGAGAGGTTTCTGTGGTTTCACCACCGCCACAGTCGGCCAGCCAGCCTGGTCCCACGGCGGCGAGCGAGACGAATGAGCAGCGAATGGAGGTGAGCGGCGGGCCGGCCGGCGGACACTGGGCCGACCCCCTGGTCGACAGTGGAGGAACGGCTGGCCAGCGGGCCGGTTACACAACCCAGCCAGTCATGAGGAAGCGGCCGTCACAGGCTATTCATCATAGCAGAATGGGGATGTAATGATAACGAACGTAATTTAGGATTGAAAGTTGGCATTACTCGCGCTTACCCACCTCTTTCGCTTGGTGCGTTTGGCGGAGAACGACCTTGCCCGAAGGTCGGGAGAGAGCTGGCAGGACGAACTGGAAGACTCGGCGTGTCGAGAAACGTCTGCAGATGAAAACATATATAATTAGCATGACGGCGTAATCCAAACATTAGGGTACTGCGAGAGCATTCGCACGCAAATGAATGCCAAAATTAGCTTGCAGCAGAGTAGCAATGTACTCAAAATTAGGGCTGTGTAGTGCAAACGCCACTTCTACTGGCATTGACCTGCAACAACATGACAAAACAGTGCAGTGGCAGACACAGGTCGGGCAAACGAGCTTTTAATTCGTTTGCCTTCCACTTCAAGACACTCGACCGACGTAAAAAAAGGTCACAAACGTAGCCATGGGACAATAGATGCCTCGTGACGCGAATATACTCGTATCTGTTCAGAGTGAACCATTCAGCAACCCTGGTCCACCCCCACTCTCCAGATGACACTCTCTCGAGGACCAGGATTGGCTACAGTCTGCTAAATCACCTTTGTACATAAGTAATCCGTACCATGGGCAGTAAAGCAGTGTGGCTTCTCGTCTATGCACATATCAGCAGGATGCGCCCTGCATACGTAACCCATGGCACTCGACTAGCTCAAACCATTCTGTTCTAACTATCCCGCCCGTCCGTCCGTGGCTTGAGAGCTCATCGCTATCACATCTACCCCTTGCAAGGCACGTCCTAAACTGCGCATGTAGATGCCCAAAAACCAGACGGGCCATGAAGAGCTGCAGGCTTCAGTCGGCCCGAACCGAACCGGCCTCTGAGTGACGGGTAATACCACCGCTGCCATACATACCACGGCGCCAACGGGAGCAACGCCGTGCAAAAACTGGTCATTGTGCGCCGGCGCGGCTACCGACAGAGATGGGCCTCACGCCATTCCGCCGACGACTTTCTCGGGCCGGCCGTGTGCTCTGCAGGGGGATTACACTGACCCAGCGGGCCCCTCATAACGAGTGTGTAACAGCGGGGATGTCCAGTAACCCGAGGGCCACTCAAGGCGACCCGCGCGCGCGCGGTGGTTGCTCAGTTAGCTAGGGACGGTGCCAGCTCTCTTTCACAAATGTGTCGAAATCGTCAGGCCGGGGGCCGGGAGGAATGCAGGGGCAGGTCTTACCGACCCTGCGGCACAGAATGCGAGCGGCGCCAGCGAACTGGCAGACCATAGAGGCCGCAATCGCTCCTCGAATACCGATAGGGTGAACGGCGAATAGGAGAGCGGGCGGGGCTCCGCAGCTGTTCGCTCGTCAGCTGAACAGCAGAGCGGCAGCAAAGGCGGAACGCCCGCTTCGCAGCACGCCTTTCATCATTAATCTCCGCATGCCGCCCACGCTTCACAGCACTCACTGCGTGTGGCAGTCGGTGCGATTGGCTATTGCATCGATAATGTCATGACACGGTTAACTTAGAAACATAAGCCGAAATGGTATAAAAGCACATTTCAATAGCACTCCGATCGCACTAAAAGCGCACGCATTATGCGTACATACCGCAAACTAGCCTCTCCCTTCCAGTCTCCTTCTGCAACAATGACTAACTGCTGTCAACTCGCCTAGTTCATCTCCAGCTAAGCCGACCAGAAGGCGCATAATATTGGCCTTAATCGGGGCCGTTGGTCATGTAGGTAACCATCTCTGGCCGGTTGCCCATGTTGTCGCCCTGTGACCTCACCTCTGGGGAGCGAGTGTTGACCTCGCCGCGCCGCCGACGCCCGAACCGGGCCCGGCTCACTGGCAGAGTCCGACGCCAGCTCCTCCAGAGAGTCGTACTCGTCACTGGCCGGCAAACTGCGGCCACGCTGAAACTGAGTCATTAGAGAGTCAGACTAGCTGAAACCGAGTCATAAGGGTCAACACTGTTGAAACTGGGTCACGACAGGGTCAAACCAACTGAAACTGAGTCACGACAGAGTCAATCCACTGAAACTGAGTCGAGCTGAAAATGAGTCACGGCATGGAGTCTGACCAGTTAAAATTAAACCATGGAGCCAATATTAGTCATAAATATAGACATTAAATCATAGACGGGTAATTCGTGGCTCAGCAGTAGAGCGAGACGATATACAGCGAGTCAAACGGAGGAAAGTGCAGTGCGATTACGGGGTCACAGTCGGCTGAATCAGGTCATTCTCTGCGACAGGAGGTCATTGAAAGGCGCCACTCACTACCCGGCCCGAGTCATGAGCAATGATGAGTCTGTGGGATGAACAACAGTACCTGAAATGGCTCGCTGAGTGGGGCACTGAAAGGGAAACCGGACCGGACGAAAGAGAGAGTGCAGGGCACAAAGGAAGCGCCGGGCGTGGACGCCGTATGAAGTAGATTAGCGATGGTCCAACTGGGCGTGAACAGACCGTATTAGCCGCCCGATCACGGCGTCACGCTGAGCAATTTAGGTGGTACCCCGGAGCGTCTCAATCTGTGCAATACATGCGACTGTTTGAAAACAAAGCGTGAGATAAGATCATCATGAGACTATGAAGACGACCATCATGCTCGAATTCACGAGATCAGTTTATTCATTGGTGTTACATGTAAATTGGCACCGCATAGAGACGTTGTGACTGAATATGCCGATCATTTTTTGATAAATATATATATCAACGCAGCATGGCGGATTTAGATCAATGACCCATATCGTTCCATGTCTCAAAAAGCGCAGTTTCTGAGGCCAAAGGATATAGTTACTTAGACACTCTTGGCTATCACCATTTTTGTGTTTTTATTATCGCCAGTAGAACAGACACCGGCCGGGCCATTGTCTGGGAGTGCCGGCCGACCGACCGACTGGCGGACGGTGATGGATCACCGGGACACCGGACTGACCTCCGGTTACCCTCGCTGGTCCCTTCACAGCTGCCTTTCCCTCGGACAGGCCATATCCGGCGCCACTTCACCCGCCGGCCACTGGGACTTGTAGCACGCTACATCTTGAACATTTAACGTAGTATCTTTTCGGCACGGCTCGGTCCGGCAGTCCCTCTCCCTCGCAGTCCGGCCACACGCCTAGCTCGCTTTCCCACACCCAATTCCCCCCCCCCCCCCCCCCAGTTCCCCTAATCTATCACTGTCCGCACAGAATGGGCAGCCGTTAAACTCCCATTAAGACGCGCGCTTTTGGAGACAGCTACCGCAGGATGAACGATTCGAACCCCAACAAGTAACAGCTGGATCAGTAACATTGTCAACAGCTCATGGACCCACGCCGAGGACAGATAACGGCTGGGAGCGCTGGATCAGTAAGATATGTCAACAGATCATGGAGCAGTGTCAAGGATGGATGCCGGCTGGAGCACACAGCCTCCTTTGTCGGGTACATCAGCCCAGGGTGAGTGACCCTGGCAAAACAACCGGGTGACCGACCTCACAATGGCCTCATGAGGTAGTTCCAGAGATCTCCGCAGAGGAAGAAGGCGCTGACTTACGGCCACACCCGGGCCAGTGGGCGGAGCAAGAGTGACGTCACAAGGGGCGTTGCCGGCAGACGAAACGGAAGGAAACAAAAGTTTGAATAAAATGAAATTGAAGAATCAAAATTAAAACTCGAAAATCACAAACCTTTCGGGGATTGTTTTATGCCAGCGATTACTAAAATGATAAAGCACTCAACACGAAGACGATTCGACGGCCAAAAATTGCAGGCACAGAGGAGCAAGGTGACTAAACAGGACAGAGGGCGCCATCTTACGGCCCCACCCACCAGAAGAAGGCAGAGGAAGATGACGTCGCAAGGGCGTGGCAGTCACCCCTCCCCCCCCAACTATAAAAGGGTGCGCCACCCAACCAGAGGCAGAATCACAGTCGAGCAGCCGAGAGTCACAGTCCACAGCTGGAGCCGGAGACGCCATCTGGGAGCCGCCGTCAGTCCGGGTCACCCGCGAGAAGCCTCTTCAGTTCGAGTGACCAGAGCCGGAGGACAACCGCCGACGCTTGAGACCACACTGAGAAGCGGAAGCGCAGAGAACTCCAGAATGTGAGTGTTGTTGAAAAGTCTGCTCAATCCCAATCCTTGCCCCCCCCCTCTGCCCAGCGTGCCGTGCCCGTGACGACTGCCAAACATTTTCGGTTACCATAAAATGCACTCTCAATTGGAATTGGAAAACTTAAATTACTTTGAACTTATTGGTCCAGACACCCTAGTAGCATGTTAGGATCTGAATTTCGAGGTCATGTCAGAGTCGCCAGCAAACCGTTATTGTCAGTGGGAGTTCACGATTAGGCCAAGAGCGAGATCCGAAAATTTACATAAGTAGCTCAGTGTCACGAACGCTGAAATTGATGACAGGATGCGTGACAACGTTGAAATGTCTTTGTCTTCGGTCAAGATGGTTCGTTCGATTTATTATGGGCGATGGCCAGGTGCGTTTTGAGGTTGGAACGTTTGTGAAATAAAGGGTTTAGATTCGTGCTGTACTCACTAAAAGTTGCATTGCGAAATCATTGGTAATATTGCTGTAATCTAAAATGGAAGCTAAAATGGAAGTCGAAATCAATTATAGAACAGGTAAATACGTTTGAAAGGAATGTAATGTTTTAAGGTGGCGACTGATTCATGCGATCGATCTATGAATATGGCTATGAATTATGATTTGCGACAGATACGAATGCTTGAGCGTACGGCGGAATTTTTCCTGTTACTTAGGTGCATAGTTGCGAGCAGTGGTTTGAGGTTGACGGTTTGACACTTTGCGACTTTAGATGGTCACTTTGCGTCATTGAAATTGCGAAATGTCGAGTAACAGGTAGATGTAGAAATGTTTGTGGTTAGAACTAATATGCGACTAATATAGGTACCGATCGTTGTGCTTTGTAGAATAAATACTAGAAAGGACCAGCTTTGTTGGGAAACGATCAAATGGGACAGGAGTAAAAAAAAAAAAACTTACGTGGAATGGAGCTGATGAGATGTCGAACAGGGAGATATCGAAGCGATATTTTACCAGATTCACACTCACTGACACAGCCGTTGAATCTCCCGGCCCGAAGAGACCGCACACACCAGTACTGCACCGCGAGTGATGACGCGCCCATCGCGGCGCGGCCTTGACAACTGTCGACTGTCGACGCGGCGCCGGCCGGCGGCCGTCGTAATCGTCGTTCCCGACACGGGCGTTGAGCCGCCAGAGGGCGCGAGAAGCAGCCACAACAGGGGCAGTGGGTTAGCCGTAATTGGGGCGCGGGCGGTAGGTGAAGGTCACGTATAGGAGTCTGGTTAGTTGCGGAAAGTTGCAACGGGATAAGAACGTAGACAGTTAAATATGATATGCTATATGATATCTAGGACTGCACTTCGTTTGATGCGCATTGTTTACTGCTAATAGGATGATTTAAATTAGATTCCCTATGAAAGGCTAGGGACCCTATGACAATATTCTGGCACTCTATAAAGATAATTTGTTTAGGTAACTAGTAGCCCATCAGAAGCTATCGAACGAGTTTCAAGGAGGCATTTCCGTTTGAGCATTCAGTAATTCACTATGGTACGGTGGATCACAACCAGACGGCAGATCGATGCGTGTTAATTGGTTCTAGATCATATGTCTGATTAAATCAAGAGCGGTTCAAGGTCTGCTAGGATTGTATACGAGAACTGATGATAAGGTTCACGCGTGTAGCAGCAATTAGGACTTGAGATTACGATTAGATTTGGTTAAATTATGCGTTTCTGCTATTCGCGTTCTTGCGAGTTAGCGCCAATAATTACTCCAACAATATTGGCACAGGGCATTGTGAGGCACAGACGGCTTGTTTGCCCGCCTCCTATGGCGTAACGTTTACCAGCATGACTGTATGAGACACAGATGCACTTCTCGAAACCCACGTCCAGACCGGAATAATAAGAGGGACACACCGTCACGTACGCAGGGCATATGCACGTTTTCCGCCAGTGGTACCGGCCACTGTTAATTTTCCCGCTTAGGTAACACTGGGTGAGAAGGCAGTGAGAGGTTTCTACGGCAGGGGGGAAGGGGAAGATTGGCACAGTATGCAGTGGAGAGTAAGTTATGCCAAAGGCAAGAAGCCGAAGGTCAGGGGTGAGTCACCCAAAGGGCGGATAAGGCGAGCCGTAGTGTCCCGGATAAGTCCTCATACTTATTTCGTAAAGGTACTCTAATCGGTACTGGACAGCCTCAGGGGAGGGAAGAATGTACTCCAGGACACGTAAGGCCTTGAATAGTAAATCCCATGGTTAAGGATAGTTCCAGGATATGAACTAGGGTCCCTGGGTCGTGAACGGGAATGTTACACGCGGACCGGAAGAGGGCATAGGTAATCTCTCCCGGTAGAGAGATAAGTCGGATATAAATCGTGTATGTGTGTACCATAAGTCTATCGGTCGTGTAGTGAATCCCATAAATTAGTAGGGTGGATATTTATGCAATTATTCTGGACGGCCCTGCGGTAAGTATCTTTGTCGCCGGTTAGCGGAGCATGCATATGGATTTCGGAAAGAGACATTTATCTCGCCGGGGAGATCGCTATTAGTCAGGCACCTAACGCCATCGGAGGGAATTCGAGGGGCGCTAAATAAATTTGGGGTGAATATATGACGAACGAACGTAGAGAGAGGATGAGAGTGAGAATGGTAAAGGATGAATCTTAGGATAAGGCCGATGGGAGTTTAGCGAAGCTCAGTTAGGACAGTCAAACTAATTAATCTCGAGGGCAACTTAAAACTAGCAACGCTAATACGAATTAAGTGGGCAATTTTCTTAATGGGAAGGCCAGTGATATAGGAATGGGTGACTGGACGAATGATCACATTCAATTTATCAATGTAATTACCACCCATATGTTTGGCAGT